CCGAACACTCATACAAAGAGACTTCATTCTAACATTCTAACATTCTAACAATTCATAATACTGTTATCTGGAAGGAAAAGAAAAGTTGTTGGCATACTTCTGCTGAACCATCAGTTCTTTATTTTTATGTACATTAAAGGTGTCTTTGTTTACATGTCTCCTGGCGTTTCTTTTTTCTTGTATTCTTTCATGGTATCTGCAGTTGTTCAGGATCCATATCTAGGAACTGTTGACTAAGAATATATCAAATTCTAGTTAACAAGATCATATTTGTTAGATTTTCTTGAGAGATGCCATTTCTAAATCGAACTATTGTTTTCTCTTTCTCATTTTAGTAAGAAAATTGTTTGTAAAGTTGCTCTTGGGCTTGAGCTCATCTTGGTAGATGGGAAGCTCATTATATCTCTTTTATCATAACATCTACCATTAGATTTATCTAATAAAATGTCCTTTTATTGTCTCAATTTATTGAAAACTGACCAAGCTAAGTGGGTGTTTAGTGTCTTTTATGGAACTACAGAAGCATTGCTGGATATGGTTTCCCAAGGCTGGGGAGCTATGTAATGTATCACCCAAGTGATATCAGGTTAGGAGCTTTCCTGGTGTTTATGTGAACGTACAGTTTGCTTAGATATGATTTTGCCAGGTGGTTGGTCATTATTGATTATTTCTGTAAGCTTATAAATTTGAATCGTGTGTAAGCCTGAGTTCTATGATTTTGCAAAGACAATGAGATATGATGTTATTAAACTTCAAAAAGGACAAAGTTAAGGCAGCAAGGAATGATTTGGTGGCTTACGATTTGGCAGAGCAAATGACCCTTGAGAGGTTAGAATGATGAAACAGGTTTCATGTAGCCAACCCCATATAGTTGAGTTATGGCATCTTAAGTTGAGTATGCTGAATGCCAAAAGTTTGCACGTGGGTCATTATCAGTATTGAATTTTAATCCACGCTGAGGTGAGACATATACTGGTTTTCTAAAAACTCCTGGAGTTGACCAAGTGACTGGATGAATGTCTTGGTGCCTGAGTAACTAGTAAGATCCATAACCTAACTTCACCTAGGCTTTGAATGCAAACATGTTTTAGTTAGTCAATGTTAAAACTAGAAACAAGTGTATTTATTTACTAATAAACAGTTTTCCACATATAGGTCATAAGAAAGACTTTAAAGGATATGTCCTAAGACATTGTCTTGGTTAAGACTTTTCTTATAACTATTCTAAAAATGATTTTGGCATCATTTGAGGAGATAATCAAATCTTTATTACTATTGCAGTGTTTGCAACGTGTTGTTGTTATTATGTTTCTTTTGGAACCCTTGTAGTATTTGGAAATATGCCTTATCACTATTTTTTCTCTCAATCTCAACTATTTACATGTTCTCTTTTGGTGTTACTCAATAATTGATAGTTATTCTCTCTCTCTCTCTCTTAAGGGCTACACAATGGGGGGGGGGGGGGGGGTAGCCCATCCCCCAACCCAGGTACAGGTGGGATTTGATCCCAAGTCTCTACTACAACCAGCAGCAGACCTTACTAACCAGCTGGTTGGCACCTTGCAGATATTTATTCTCTTTCATTTAGCATCAAAGAGGGTCTTATACCATGCACTATGGACCTCTCATTCTTCCAGTATTAATCTATGCGCTGAGGTGATGACTAGTGATTTTAGTCTCTCTTGTTGATGCATTGACTAGTCAGTGCTTAGGTGCTAACTAGTCGATGAAAAAAGATATGTTCTCAATTTTAGAAATTATTGCAATCTTGTAATTAAGTTAATATATATTACAACCATGCAGGAAAAGAATGATATTGAACATTTAATTTACAGTCTTTGTTTTGCAAATGTAAAAATTTAGGCCTATCCTAAGATCCATTTAAAGGATGCGACCTTGAGTATTTGATGTCCCTTTTATTCGTGGTAACTCCATACTTGCACTCTATTGATTGAAAGAAAGCTCAAGAAAACTCCTCCACTGCCTTCTTTTCTTTTTATATCTTTTCCTATTTTATATACCATCAGCCAATCATGTTCTATCAAAAATATTTAAAGTAACATCATGACTATAGCAAAATACATTTTCTTTATTATTTTAAACAATTAGGGATATGAACAAACAAATAAAGCTTTAATTGACTAGTTGACTCTTATTTGTCCCAGCCAACTACATTATTAAGTATCAACCAACTAGTTAGTGATGCAGTTGGTCTAATTCTCAACTGATGCAGTTGGTCTAGTTCTCAACTGACCAGTCAGTTGACTAGTTGATGCTTTGACAATACTGCTTACTTCCAAAGAGAACTTATGTATTATATTTAACTGGAACTTAGGGGTTTTCAATATTTTATTTATAATTTACTTGTGCAGGAATGGGTTCATACTTGCTGGAGACTCTGAATGATCGCTACAACAAAAAACTTGTTCAGACATACAGTGTATTTCCTAATCAGATGGAAACAAGTGATGTGGTGGTCCAGCCATACAATTCACTTTTGACTCTTAAGCGGCTTACACTGAATGCAGATTGTGTTGTTGTTCTTGATAACACTGCATTAAATAGGATTGCTGTTGAACGCCTTCATCTATCAAATCCCACCTTTTCACAAACAAATTCTTTGGTTTCAACTGTAATGTCTGCAAGCACAACTACTCTACGGTATCCAGGGTACATGAACAATGACTTGGTTGGGCTTCTTGCATCATTAATTCCAACTCCTAGATGCCATTTTCTAATGACAGGATACACTCCACTCACTGTGGAGAGTCAGGTTAGACTTGATATGCACTTCCTAGCACATAAGGTTTTAGCATATTTTATTCTACTGCACTGGAAAATATTTTGGCTTTTGTTGCAGATTCATTGTTTAAACATGAAGATAGTTGTAATTGATAGTACCAATAAAAATGAAGTCCTAATTGAGTATTATTCAACTCATTAAGACAAAAGCCTGTACTTCAATTGTGTTGTGATATATGCTGAAACCTTAAGGTTGCTTTTTTTTATCCACTTTTTATTCCTATATAAAGTGAGACAATATTGTATGGGGTTTTGTCCTACCTCTTAATTTTTTATAGATACTCAAGAAAAAAAAAACTATGTGTTAGTGGGGGAGGGGGGAGGGATGAGGGAGAGGGTGGGTGTTGACAACTTACGAGGGTGGGAGAGTGGGTCTGGGTATTGACAACCATTTAGGGTATTTCAGACATTAGTCATTAGTCGCATTAAATAATTTTTAATATCTGAATTATCTGATAGGGGATGTTTAAGATTGGGTTGAAGGTAATGAAAGGTTGAAGTATTTTTCAGAAATGTGAGTAAAGCTTTAATGATTAGCCTTTGAAACAGGCCATTACTCAATGTTGGTCCCAGCTATTTGGGGTCTTGGGAGGGGTACATAGTTGTTAAGGCGACACCTAGGCAACAAGGCACCCTTTGAGGCTCGCCTCGCCTAATTGCCAAGTAGTTTTGTACTATGTATTATAAAATACTTTTTTATTCTTTATTTTTTGACATTATAATTATAAAATAGGCACTATTAAACTAAAATATTCATTTCGTGTATTTATATGCTAATTTCTTTTTATTATTTTCTTATTTTTTAGGGTTTAATCAATACAAACATTGCTAAATGCTGTATTGAACCCTCAAAGACATTAAAACCTGAACCAATAAGTAAGGAAGAACTTAAAATTTTGTCTAACAAACACATTTTCTACTACTACTACTATAAGGGTTCAGCTCCTATATTTTTTGAATTTTCTTTTCCTTCTTCTTTTCCTCCTCCTCCTCCTACTACTACTAAGTACTACTACAGTACAACAAACTTCGGTTTTTTACTAGTCTCATGGGGGATGATGTGATATAGACCATCCATTGTATTGCAAACTTCGAATTACCACCTGCACATTGTTATTTCTCATGTCAGGATTGATTATGACAATTTCCTCTGAATAATAGCTTTTTGTATCTTGATTTTTTAACAATTAAATAGGTTAGGAAAGTAGTGTATTTGCAATGTATCATGAAAAAATTGCCATATGGGTAAAGGATGAGACTGTTATGGCATGTGTATGTCTTTTAGACCTCCATAGCTTGAAGTGTTAGAGGCCATGTTTATGGGAAATGTAATACCTTTATTGAACAATCCATTTATGAACCCGCACCATATCTGGTGAAGCTTTGCAAACTCTAGCCACTCTGATGCTTCTTTTGAGCTCTACTTCTCAATCCAGCCTAAATTGTTGAGCTTCCAGGTGTGGCCTAAACAATGTGTGACCCTTGGTGTGCATGTTACACTCACATGCAATGCCTGGGAGGGGGCTGCTTAATGCAGTCTTTGATCTTATCCAATCACTCTTTAGTCCTCTACATCAGTAAAAGAGGGAAAAAAGCTGTCTTGCTTAGGTAGGACACGGTTGTACCACACCCTTTTACAAGTATGATGGGAAATGATAATGGGCTGGGCCAGGGCTTTGCACCTATGATAAGGAGCATAGCCATGGTTGTACTTTCGAGCCTACAACCTTAAATATCCATAGACCAGACCAGGATAGAAATAAATGTGAATTTCATTAATGGAGAAAAAGTAATCAGTGAGTAAAATAAGAATACAGCCAGATAAACCTTCTTGTCTCTCCCCACCCCTTGTTTAGCTAGAGTGTTAGCCAAGGAATTAGCACTTCTTTTAGCCGATTGTTGTCGCCTCACTTCCATGTCTTGTGTCAGCCATCTGGAATTCTTTCTTTCATTATTGTAACTCCACAACTTAGCCTCCTCACTCTGTAGCCAACCTGCAACAAACTTGGGTTAGTTTTCCTACTATTCAAATTCCTTGTTGTACTCCCTTGACTTGAGCATTGCCATAACTTCAGCCCTTAAAGAGTCCCCTGCACCAAGTAGGCCTGAATACAAGGCAAACTATTTTTCCCTCATTATCTCTAAGCATCCCTCTAATTCTTAAAATTCCTGAGTTTTCCAAGCTGCTTCCGTCAAAATTGAGCTTAATGAACCCTCTTTCTGGTGGAGACCATTGAGGATTTATGACAGTCATTTATAGATGAATCAACCACTTCCTTCCAATTTCTAAGGATGCCATCCATTGATACATTTGAGAAGGTTTCTAAAGACTTCAGCCAATGAGCCACTCTAATCATGGTATTTTCAATTATAGCTTCTTGACTTTTATCCTTTCCCAAGAAAATTCTTGAGTTCATTATTCAGCTTATTTCATCCCTTGTACATCTCCACATGAGCCTTCCCCTTTTCTTTGGCCAAGAAAAAGTAGTGGGAGAAAATAGACTTTGTACATCAACCGGGGGATTCTATGTACACCCAAATAAAGAGGAAAACTATTTCCAACTGTATACAATGAATGGATAGGAGATTAGTAAGTGATAGGAAGTCTCGGCATTGGCTTTACACATGACAGACCAGCGAGGGGATGAGCACCACTTAGGTCTATTCCTTTGGGGGATGAGCACAACTTCCCAACAAAAAGCTCCAACCCTTTGGGGGTTAGGCTTGCACCAAACCTCCCTGATAGGAAAATGTTGCAGAGAACTAGAAGAGGGTTGAGTTAATGTCTTAAAAAAGGGAGCACAAGAAAAGGAGCCAGAAGGAGAAAGAGAACCCAAATTTGGCCACCAGGTTTAGAGAGATCAAGGTAGACCTCTTCAAGGATTTGAAGTAAAGCAAGTATGCTATTTAGTTCAGAATCCCTTATGCCTCTCCTAAAGTCCAAATCTCAGTCAAACCCATTTCTTGAGTTAGAAGGAGCAAGGAATTTGGAAATAGGTTCATTTTTGAAGTAAGAAAGCACAAATAAGGAAGGAAATTAGTCCTTAAGAGGGGAGATCCCCAATTAAACATGTTTCCAAAATTTAATATGGTCCCTAATACCAGGATTGTACTTGACAAAAGGAAGGATTGATGGTAAAATAACATTGCCTTCCAGCTAGAAGCTCCAGTTACCCTAGCCAATTATTCCAATATCCCGTCCATTATTCAAAAGCCCATGAATGCTCACCACCACCTTTGCTCATAGCTTGTCCCTATCTCAAGGCAATCTTCACATCCACTTCTCCAACAAAGCCAAATTCTTTTTGTGAATATTCCTTATTCACAACTAGAGAGTGGGTCCTAAGTGCAGCTCTTTCAAAAGGTGCACGCCTAGGTTTGAAAAAAATGCCAAGTTATGAGCATAGGGACAAGCTATGAGCAAAGGCAGCTCGTAGGTTTAATATATTATATCTCCCTTTCACCGAAGCTCCGAGAACCCCCTATTTGGTGATGTTGTTCATTCATTCATCCTACTAAAATATCTTCTTTAAAAGCAATTAAAATTATAAAATCATTATTTTTTTGTGTGAGAACTAAGAATTTAGGACCCTAACATGGACTTGTTTGAGCTTGCCTCGAGGGGCGTGTAATGCAATTGAGGAAAAAAGAGATTGTGGGTTTTACATGCTTGAAAATGTTTTATATGTTTGATTTTATTTTTAAATTCACATTTGAATATGCTTTACATGTTATGTTTATGTATTTAAATTTAAGGTAATAGGTTTTTTAAAACATTTATTTTAAAATTTAAAGTAATATTTTTTATTAATATTATGTTTAATATTTTTTTGCATTTTTTATTTTTTTTGACATTTTTTTATTTTTTAGCATTTTTTTGTGCCTTGCTTCAAAAAGGCACGCGCCTCGCGCCTTGAGTGCAAATTGACCCCTGTGCCTTTTTTGTGCCTTGCACTTTTAAACATTGTTTCTAACCTAGCTCAAGTCATCTCCTTTATAGAACAAAATTGTAGGTAATTGGCATTCTACCTCTACTACTCTCTACTCTCTCACTAAATATCTCGAGTTTGCCCTTGATATTAACTTGCTAAGAACATCTTTTATGAGGGTAAACTGAAAGGGAGGGAGGAGGTCACCTTGTCTAATCCCTCGAATAGCAAGGAAGAAATCCACCATAGTTCTAGGTTGGAAATGATTGCCCCTAATGGTTAGCTTTCACTTGTAAAGTTTTTTTAGTAAATGTATCTAAATTCTAAAAATCAAGGAATTCATCTGAAATGTGCTAGTCCCATTAGTCTCAAGTATTGAACTGGCCTTCCTTAGATCTACCCATCATTTACATATATAGATAATTTCTTTTTGCTTTTCTCTATTGATCATTTGTAGCGGGTTTAGTGTCTTAAAAGTGAAAGGTGCAAAAAAAAGGCAGGGGCTATTTTGCACCTGAGGTGCAAGGTGAGGCATGCGCCTTTTGGAAGCAAGGTGCAAAAATGCAAAAGAAATTAAAAAAAGAAAGACAAGATAAAACAAAAAAACAAAAAAAAACAAAAAAAAGTAAAAAAATGCCAAAAAATTAAAAAATGCAAATCATTAAAATATTAAACACATTATTAATTAAACATGATATATAAATTAAAATTTAAAATAAATGCTTAAAAACCTATTATATCAAATTAAAATACATAAACATAACATGTAAAACATATTTAAAATAAAAATTTAAAAATAAAATTAAGCATAAATATAAAACATATTCAACCTTGTAAACTCTTAATCTCTTTTTTTTTCCCAATTGCATTACTTCAAATAGTTAATGTGATGTTAAACATTATGCATTCTTGATTCTACAAGCCGTCCATATACCAAGCCCCTCAAGGCAAGCCCAAACAAGTCCATATTAGGGTCTTAAATTCATAATCCCTATAAAAAGAATGCCTTTATAACTTTAAGTGTCTTTTAAAAATATTCTTTATTAGGATGAATGAATGAGCAACATTAGCAAATAGGGACTTGTTTGGGCTTGCTCGAGGGGCTTGGTCGGGGGTTTAGGGGCTCTACCCTGGCCTAGCTGCTAAACACACACACATACACAAAAAAAAAATACAAAAAAAAACAGAAAAAATACACAGATTTTCAGAAGGTACATGCCTGGGCTGAAGTGCAAGGTACACCAGACGTGTGCCTTTTGAAAATACTCCACTTGGAACCTAGGTGAGGCACATACCCTAAAATGTGCCTTAACTGTGCGCCTAGGCATGCATGCCTTTTAATAGGTGGATTGGGTAATAGGTACCTATTGGGTCTATTTATATAGACAAGAATGGGATGGGTCATAGTGGGTATGGGTTTGGTCACATCCATTAGGTTACATGTAGAGGGGTGTTAAATGGGTGGGTTGTAACTCAATCCACACTCACCCAATCAAGGTTCAAAGTATCAATACTCTCAATACACAATTTTTTGCCTATCAAGAGTTTCAGTTGAATAAAATCATAATGATTTTTTGACAATTTGACAGAAGACCTGTCCAATCATATATTTAAATTCTTTAAACCCAAATTCCTAGATACCTTATATTAAGTGTATCAAAGACCTAAAGATACTATATGTTATGCCCGCTTTGGGGCGTATTGTGTCAAATATCAATACTTTGAACCTTGCACCCAATTGCCATCCCTACTTACACAGATGCAATAGGATTATGACCTTCTTGCAGTGGACTCAAGTCATTGCCTAGGCCATTGTATAAGGTGTTTCTTTATACCCCATTGCCTAGGTAAACCCAAGACAACCACCTAATCATGACTAGGTGACACCCAACAGAGCTATTACATGTGTTCATTTATGCTTACCACGTTACCTTTTCTTTTTTTTTTTTTTTAAATTGTGTTGCTATTCTTGTAAAGCTAAAATGCAATAAGTTAAATGTACTTTATGTTCTATATGTGTGTGAAGGGGGTGTAGGAAGAACAGAACACTTAGAGACAAGGGGACTAGGATTTCAAAGAAAAAAGGACTGGAGACCAAAAGAGAGAAGTGATCTTAAAGAGGACCATGCATCATCTACAATATATTATATATAAAAATTTGTCACTTCATTACATGTGTTAGTCATCTGTTTTTTGCATAAATATGAGATTCTGGGTTAATGCCCAAATTTATTTAGTTCCTTGGTTTTCTGTCTAGGTATCACGTAAGCCAGACCTTGCTTAGGCAGCACAATGGTTATTCTTTTCATTGATGGAAGCAACTCAGTCCAATGGTTGTTTGACTGCCTTCTACCCAATTCAATGAGGCTATAGTTACCATGTTTTCTCAACATACTTGGCTTTATTTTAGTTGCTATATTGTAACTTGCAATTGCTGCACATTGCAATTGTTCTAATGGGTTCTAACAACCAATGATAAAATCATGGTGAAGTAATTGTTTGCAAGGCCAAAATAAGCATAATTTTGCAATTGAGTTCTTTGGGTATTCAATTACTCTTTTCTTGCTTCAATCAGAAGCTTTTTGCAGCATTCTGATGGACAAATTTCCATTTTTGCAGGCTAGTGTAATTCGCAAAACTACAGTATTAGATGTCATGAGAAGACTTCTGCAGGCAAGAAACCTACTAATTTGGATGTCCCCGTTATTTCCATGACTTGTTAAATAAAGAGTAAATAATTTCCAGGTCAATGGACAGGTTTCTTACTTCGTATGTTTTGCAGACTAAGAATATCATGGTTTCCTCTTATGCACGAACAAAAGAAGCAAGTAAAGCAAAGTACATATCAATATTAAATATCATTCAAGGAGAGGTGGACCCTACTCAGGTAATATTCTGTTGACATCCATCGTTTTAAGGTCTACATATAAAATTCCTTTTACAAAGAGTTATTATCTTGCAAAACCAAATTGTCTTTTATTTATAAGATGGCCAGTATTTGGATTTGTCATCCTAAATGCATTTTTCTCCTTCACTTCTTTTTCTTCTTTTCTCCTCTTGAATAGTTTTCAAACTAAACCTAGGACTGCTACAACTTTATTTCAGGTTTATCTCTTTGTATTTTCCTCCATAAACTCCTATAGAATGAATTCCAATCAAAATCAAACTATCAAAGAACTTCTATAAAAGAGCATTTTAAATCCATTTATGATAGTCCCAGTAGAGTGAGAGAGACTCTAGTTGACTTTTGAGTGGCTTGTTGGAGAAAGGGATTTGTTGGAACCCCTGGAGAGGCCTTTTGAGGTTTAGGAAATAAAGGGGGCAATTTTCTCTGTGGAAAGATCAAAAGCCCCGGGCCTAGATGGTTTCACTATGGCTTTTTATCAAGATTGTTGGGGTATTTTAGGTGATGATTTGGTGGATGTCTTCTTGGAGTTCTTTGAAAGAGGGAAAATAAATGCGAGTGCAAATGCTACTTTTATAGCCTTGGTTCCAAAGAGGGTTCCGGCAATTCATCCCAAGGACTTTAGACCGATTAACTTGATTGGGACTTTGTATAAGATCATATCTAAAGTTCTTGCCCTAAGGTTTAAGAAAGTCCTACCCTTCTTAATCTTTCCGAATCAAGGGGCTTTTGTGCAAGGGAGACAAATTATCAATCAGATCTTAATAGCCAATGAATGTGTGGATTACAAAAAAAGAAAAGGAGAGAGGGGGTCTGATCTGTAAGCTTAACCTAGAAAAGGCTTACGATTTGGTGGACTGGGAGCTTTTGCTTGAAGTGTTGAGGAACAAGGGTTTTGGAGAGAGGTGGTGTAATTGGATAAAGGATTGTATCACCTCTTGTCATTTTTTAGTCCTAGTAAATGGAGTAGCTAGGGACTTCTTCCCTGCTAAGAAAGGCCTTAGACAAGAAGACCCATTGTCACCTTTCCTCTTCACCTTAGTAGTGGATGTCTTAAGTGTCTTGATTTCCAAGGCTGATTCAAGGAACCTAATCAAAGGTTGGAGAGTTGGGAGGCAACAAGTGGTGGTCACTCACCTATAGTTTGCAGATCATATCATTCTTTTTTGTGAAGGGGAAGCAGAGGAGATGGATAATTTGAGATCAATAGTGACACACTTTGAGAGAGTCTCTAGTCTAAAAGTCAATTGGAATAAGAGTTGTGTAGAGGGAGTAAATTTACAAGAAGACAAGGTGCAATTGGTGGCTAGGTCTTTGGGCTGCAAGGTTAGTGGTTGGCCTATGCTGTATTTAGGTTTGCCCCTGGGGGGAAATCTTAGAACTGAAAGTTTTTGGTACCCAGTTTTAGAAAGGTTTACTAGGAAGCTAGCAGGGTGGAAGAGAAATTATATCTCACTAGGGGTAGAATCACTTTAATCAAGTCCACTTTGACCAACTTTCTGATGTATTTTTTGTCTACCTTCAAGTTACCTATCAAAGTTGCCACTAAGATAGAGAAGATCATGAGAGATTTTCTGTGGGAACCAAGAGACTCGGAAAAGGACCATCTAGTGAAGTGGGAAGTAGTTTCTAGGAAAAAGGACTCTGGGGTCTAGGCATTGGCAACATTAGATTAAGAAATATGGCATTGTTAGGAAAGTGGTTGTGGAGGTTTCCCCTAGAGCAGCACAGTTTGTGGCACTTGGTGGTGGAAAGTATTCACGGAATGGAAGCTAATGGATGGGATGTTGGTGTCAACCCTAGGGCTACTCACTTCTCCCCTTGGAAAGCCATTGCTAGAGTCTTTCCTTCCTTTTGCCCTTTCATCAGATTCGATCTGTGTTTAGGTAATAAAATTCTATTTTGGGGGGATCTTTGGTTTGGGAACACCCCCCTTAAGGATAGATTACCGGTAATGTGTTCTCTTTCCCTAAATAAATTCAAAGTCATTTTCTCTTTCTGTGTATCTGAGGGGACCTGAGACTTGGGTTTGAGGATTAAGGGATTCAGAATTGGCTTATGCAGATGAATTGTTCTCTATGTTGAATTCAATTTTCCTAGACCATTCTTGCCTAGACAGTAGAATTTGGACAGAATCCTCTTCAGGGGTTTTCTCTTGCTCTTCTTTTTTCAATGCCCTAATTCAGCCTTCTATTGTGCCCACCTCGTTTCCTGCTAAAGAAGTGTGGTGTACACCTGTTCCACCAAAAGTTAGGGCTTTTTGCTGGGAAGTGGCTTGTCTAAAGATCAACACTACGGATGTACTTCAAAGAAAAAGGCCAGATTGGTGCCTTTACCCACATGTTTGTTGCCTTTGCTTAAGAAATAGTGAGGACGGTGACCGTAGTTTTCAAGGCACCAAGGCGACGCTAGGCGACAAGGGGGCGCCTTGTTGCCTAGTCGCCTAGGCATTGCCTTATGTAAAACATTAGATTCTAGAATAGTTCCCTAGGTACCATAACCATATTTCCTTAATAATTATTAATAATTTTCATAAGAAAACTATTAAGTTCATGTTTAAGTATAGAAAATCAACATATTCATGAGAAAATAAAGAAGAAAAAAAAGAAAATTGAAAAAAACATAGGGTCTGAACCCTTATTTTTGTTATAGGAAAAGAAGAAAAGAAAAAGTAGAAGGTATGGAAGATATGGAAGAAAAAGAAGAAGAAGAATCTATGTTTTTGAAGTTCTACCTTATTGGTTCAGGTTTTGAATTCTTTGAGGGTTCAATATAGCATTTAACAATGTTTGTGTTGATTAAACCTAACAAATAAGAAAATAATAAAAAGAAATTAGTATATAAGCACACAAAATGAATATTTTAGTTTAATAATGTCTATTTTATAGTTGTAATCTCAAAAAATACATAATAAAAAAGTATTTTATAATCGGAAGTACAAAACTGCTTGGTGATTAGGCGAGGCGAGCCTCCAAAGGCGCCTTGTTGCCTAGGTGCCTGCCTAGGCGTCACCTTGACAACTATGATGGTGACTCGTCTTTTGATTTCTTATCCTTTTGCTTATTATTTGTGGGATTGGTTCTCTTCTCTTTTTAGTTGCAGATGGAATCTGCCCTCGTGTGTGCTGAATCTCTTTGACTCTAGCTTCTTCTGGCAACCAAAGAAAAGAGGCAGGGTAATGTGGAGAATAACAAGAGCAGCCGTCCTTTGGACAATTTGAGAAGAGAGAAATAATAGGATTTTCCAAGGACAAGAAAAATCCACAGAAGCACTTGTTGAAGTCATTACCATCAAGATTCTTCATTTGTTGAAAGTGCAGCAACTTTTCAAGGACTTCTCAGCTGGCTTAGTTAGAAATTAGAGCTCTATAACTGTATCCTCTCCCTTTTCCCCTGTAATTCAAGAGGTTTGGTCACCACCATTTCAGTTCAGGGTGAAATTAAATTTTGATGGAAGCTCCTTAGGTAATCCAGGCCCGTCGGGAGTTGGGGGTGTCTTCAGAAATGAGGAAGGAAGAGTTTTGGCCCTTTACTCGGGCCCGATTGGGGTGGGAGATTCTTTGAGGGCAGAATCTATGGCCTTACTTCATGGATTGAAATTGGCGAAACAATGGGGTATGCAGCACTTAGAAGTGGAAGGAGACTCCAAGCTGGTAATAGGGTGGGTGCAATCTAGAAACTTGGGAGTATGGTCACTTAGACAGCCTCTAAGAGAGATTATTAGCTTAGCAAGGGAACTAGGGGTGCAATTTAATTGGGTAAGAAAGTCAGCAAATGGAATGGCTGACACGTTAGCTAAGCAAGGATTTATTAGGGAGAGTTTGTTTTGGGCTTGTTTGTAAGAATTTTGTTCTGATTTTCCGCCCATCCTTTGGGTGGTGATAACTGTACTTTCTTTTCAATGTCATTAATGAAAGTTGCACTTTTCTTATTAAAAAAAAAGAACTATAAAATTAATTTGAAACTCTCTCTCAGCAACATGCTTTAGAATGACCCATTGTCTTCCAAAAGAGCTTGATAAATGGATCCAGACCTTGGTAGCATACTCCCAGTGTAGGAGATGGAAAGCTAATTCTGCTTTTGCCCTACAACAGATACAAACATTCTCTGTAATGTCCTCTTGAGATCACCTGATCAATTCTAGAGGATCTTATCTGGGTAAGCTATCTACATAAAGGGTGCCTTAGAAGCTGAGAAATCCATGAAACTTCAGCTTCCATTCTAAAACTTTATCAGCCCCAAATCTCCAGCCCTTCAAGAATCTTATTAAGTAACCCAACAACCAAGATAAAAGAAGAGGGGATTGCTTGACCCTGAAACCCCCTCCCACCCCACACATGCACACAATCACACAGTGAAGAAAACATTATGGAGTTTCATTTAATAGATACATGTGCTGTCATGCCTTAACTTCCATTCTCAATATTTATGTTTACCCCATTTTCCATTTGTCTATTTTAAGAAGCCTCCACATGGCCATAGGCATTCTCCGAGCCAATTTTGCACCATGACTTTGATCTCCTCCATTTGATAGATAATGCATGCACATACAGCTAAAAACTATCTATGCCTCTTGAAGATGATCAAGACTGCTATCAGTCTTGGACACTAAGGAATTTCAGGTTCGAACAGAAGAGAAAGTGAAGAAGAAAGAGGAGAAAGATTAGTGAGAGAGCA